CTTTTTGTATTGGGAAGGCCAGCGCACTAAAACAATGTTTCTTGCCTTGGCAAATTGAACTGCTCTGGAGTAGTTGATGGTACAACGCTCCCTGTTAGTCTTCACTATGACTGGAGCTTTTAACCACCTTTGCTGCTCATCAAAAGTATCTGCTTTTAGGGTTTCGTCATTGTAAAGTTTGTACATGTGGAATTTGTCGGGCTGGATTGGATTGCCATTGTAAAGGCTGTCAATGTTGTTGTTGTGGTTTGTGTCTTTGCTTCTTTCAGCTTCAGTGAGTTCAAACCAGCGAGAAGCTGCAAGTATGTTGCATCCCAAGTTATTGTCGGAAACAACATTGTGGCAATTTGCATCAAGGAGAGAAGGCGTTGTGGTCTCAATTGACAATTTTTGTTTCTTCTTCATTCTGTGCTCTGAATTTGTTGTATGTTTGGAATGCCCAATTTCGTTCTTCACCTTCTTTATCAGACTTGTTGTTGCCAGTATGCCACCAACTGGTTCCTTTTGATTAAAATCCCCTACTAAAAGGACCGGTATACCTCCAAAAAACTGATCCGGATTTTGTAGCACTTCGCTAAACAGCCTGGAGAGTTCGCCCAATTTTGAAGCTGTCACATTGGACACCTCATCGATTATTATTAGTCGTAGATCCTGCACATTTTGTTTTTCCAATCCGATGACAGCTGCTGGGCTTATCTTTCGTTGCACTATCTTCAATTCGTCTTTTTGCCTCTTTTGAATTCTTTGTTTCTGCAAACTTGCGATTGTAGAACCATTGATGTCAGCGGCGTTCAAATTGTTTGATGCCATAGTCCAAACTCTTGAAGTTTGTTTTGTGGTGTTACCAAGCATAAGTAGGCGGTGAATCACAAAGCTTTTTCCTGTCCCGCCTTTACCTGTTAGAAGCACAACAGCAGGCGGCTGAACCACACTTTGATCCTCAGGGTATTGCAAATATTTTCTGTAGGTCTCAATGATCTGTGCCTGACCGTCATTCAGTGGCAAAGCATTGGCATTGTTGACACAACGCCATGGCGACAGTTCACCAGTCTGTACTTTGTTTTCTCCAAGTGAAATATTGTCGTCATCATCCCACAGAGAACTTTTGCCATCTTGCTTGTCGTATAATAGAGACGCCCTTTGTTTCCATTGAATCGTCATTGCTCCAACAGCGTCATACTTTTGGATGGTTCTGTCAGGTGTATGCGGAAATGTAAAGGTGCTTACGGATTGTGAGAATGATTCAGCGTCTGCGTTCATGTTCAATGCAGTTGTTGTTGATCTGGAGTCTAGTATATTGTACTTTGCCTGGAAGAAATCCTCATCAAGTAGAAGAGAATCCTCTTGACGTTCGTAAAATTTTAAAAGCTGATCTGTTCTCCTGTGCCTTTCCTGCTTGTACGACGACCACTTGTCAGCGTCTCTTGCACGATAGGCTGACAATATCTTTTTTGTTTGAAAATCTGAAGCCAGAGTATTCATCCTTCTATCCACAGCCATTAAGCGAAATTTTGAAACAGTGCTGTCATTGTGCTGTGATGTATTTATCCACGCCACTAGATCACCCCAGCCATAACTCTGTGATAGCGCTTTTTTTGTTTCCGATCCGTTATATATCTCACATGGTCGAAACATAGTCAGTATGTAGTTGGCATGTTGATCAGCTCTTGTTTGCCAGCTAGAATGTGTTGGATGATTTAACTGTGGCTCTTTTCCTGGGTGTTTGGGCACTTTTCCTTTGAAGATTAGTGTACGCTGCTTGCGGCACAGGGTCTGTCCAAATCTTGCTCTCAGTTCAAAAGCTCCTTCAAACTTAAACCATGTTGACTTTGCGCTGCTGCTTTCTTTCTTGGGAAGTTCCTTCACCTGAATAAACGCATCATACTCATATAAGTTAAGGTGCTCCAAATCTTTACCCCTGTGAAAGTACATTGCCACAACTGGAACAGCCATTTTGATATTATCTTCACCATCTTCTCCTTTTTCTACGATAAATGTCTTTATGTATCCCAAATAAGCATTATCCTCAGACTTGTTGTCATTTTTAGCATTGTTGCCATCGCTTTCAATTCCAGTATTTGCTTGCTCCATTTTTTTTGGTATCAGGATATTTCGATAATTGATTGCACCCCAAGGTTCACTGTATTGAAACACTTCTGAAGTGATTATGGATGGAATTTGAAGTAAATACGCAACCGTTTGATAGTCTGACAACTCGGTGTAGGCGTTGAGCTTATTTGTCACCTTGGAAAGAAAATGCTTAGCTAGCCTTTCTTGTGGTTTTGTGTCCCTGTCCTCAGCTGTGCTTTTGTGTTCCTGGACCAATTTTCTTGCATGTTCTAGTATTGTGAGAGAGGCAGAGAGACTGACTTTTTCCTTTGCCATATATGGAGCAATGTAGAACATAGCTGATTTTGATTGTTGTACCCCACCTAGCAGAACTGCGTTGTTGTGGGATCCTGTGCAGTAAAAGAGTGGAATGTTATGGTCAACGACATATTGATTTGCTGTCTGCAAAGCATCAGTACACTGAGAGTACAATTCTTTAACAGCTTCGATTTCCCCACTGTTAATGAAGGCCCAAATTTGATGTCCATTGCCATAAAAGCATCCCAATGAATCATGATCATGGTGCTTCAAAAGCTTACGAACGTTACTGGCAATTAGAATCCTAGTGGACTGTTCTGATCCATCAGTGGGAAGAGATAGGACATGACGTAGATCAGCAGATGTGCTGTCAAAACCAAATTGTGCTGCTAATTTGGGAATAGGTCTATCCAACTCCCACGCAACAATGGGTTCCTCTTTGCCACAATCCAAAGGGCTCTTAAGATGATAGGTTTGAATAAGAACAGGCTGCAGTACTCCAATTTCATACCCAGCATGATTTTTGCCAGGATTTGCGTCTTGAGAAATAGGAACAGCATCCATTAGTACAGTAGCTGCTCCTTCTTGTGGTGAAACAGTTGTATTGCTGTTTTCAGGTTGATTCTGTTTTGTCGGTATAAGCAAAACACAATGAGTTCCATTGGAAACACCTGATTTCTTGGCAAGTCGGCATCTTTCTCTACCATGAAATCCTTTATGACAAGTTCTGTGATGCACATGGTATTCACTATTTGCTGTCTCGTCACAAGATGTATTTCCATCTTTTGCATGGTTGAGCCATTTGATGATAGATCATCCATGGTTGCAATAGGGTTGGTTCGCTGCAAAAGAGCTGGTGAACTCATTGGTTCTGCCAACTGTCTCAATGCAGTAGATTTTCTCAGCGTTCTAGTCAAGACATTCCGGAAATTCGTTCCGGTACTGAACTTTGCCTTGTAAAAAGAGTCCAAGGCCTCCACTACCTTTTTGCAGATTGCAGACACTTGACATAGTTCTTGGAGCACATATGACGTAATTGATCCATAGAAGATGATGTGAAAATGCAGTGTTCCCTTCATGTGATCTTCCACCACTCCAGCTAAGCCAAGACCATGACCAAATATACCTTTGCGATTTTTAGTATTCCAATAATGACTCTTTCGTGTTGACCGCCCA